CGAGCCGAATCGGGCAGCCTCGCTAGCCGTGTCCCCTCCCTGTCTCTGCAGGTCAGCGTAAATGAGAGGCTACCCCTCATATCCAATCCAAGCTTGCCTAATGGGTAAACAGATGTAGGAAGCAATTAGAAACTTAATGCACTACTGATCAGAAAATGTGCTTTGTTAAAAAGATGCATTTAAAAACATACAATGGAAATTACCAACATGCATATGCTGATCAGTAGGTAGACTATTAAAGTCTACCTGATTCTTTCATCTAAGCTCTAAACTGTTGAAATCCTGAGCTCATTCATATGATTTTGTCTTATTTTCCCACGTTTTTTTTTTGGGTTCACTTTTTGTTTTGTTTTTTTTCCTTCTTGGGTGCTTCCTGTATTCATTCACTTGAATTCTGTCTCATTTTCATGTCAGTCACAACTCGAGGCTTCCCTGTAGCCGTGACAGTCGCAGATGAGAGACGGATCATAGAATACCCGCCCCCTCAGAAATAACCGCCATTGGCCCGAGTTGGCTGTTGACGGAGCCCAGACTGCAGGCATCAGAATCTCTGAAAGCATGCACAGACGCTACTCTGTTTACGAATGAGTTACGCTCCGAACGTTTGTTCGTAACTTGAAATGTTTTGTAAGTCGTTATTCAAGATCATTTTAAGGGTATACGCAAGTAGAAAAAACTAGGATGCTGGGAGTACGCACGCTACGCTGCTGCGCGGCGGGAGTAGCGGCCTGAAGCCGTACCAGGCGGAATTGGCGCGCAGAGAAAAAAATTGTGTTGTGAACAGGAAACAGGAGCCCAATGAACACAATTTGGACTTATAGTCCTCTTCGTTCGTATGTCTGAAAGTTCGTAAGTAGAGGAGTGTCTGTATACATATATAGGGGTGTAATATATATTATAAGCCACCTTGTGCATGCTGCTGTATCATCTACCCTCAGTCAGTGAGGCTATTCAATAGCTGATCAGGCTATTAGCAAGGGACAATTTTCACATTTCTTTATTTCTGTTTTATTTACTTATTTTAATTATTATTACTTTACTATAGGGAGCACCCATGGAAATTCTATGCAGCATTGTTGTGCAATTGATAAACACACTTTAATTTGATTTAATTTGAACCCATTTAATTTCAGTCTTAACAGCTAATGACTAAAATTTAAATGATGACTTCTAAACCACTGACGCTCTAATCCTGGGATGGAAAAACAACGCCCCCTAGAGATGCTCTGAGGAATAACCTCAGTCCTCCTTCTCTCTTCCCTGTCACAGGACCTGTACCTTCCCCTCTCCCTGGATGATGACGACTCCCTGGGAGACTCTATGTAATCTGGTATTACCGCGTTCGCCCGCGCCCCCCTGTCCCAAATACACACGACCCGCCAGTTGCAGAGGTATCTTTGGTGCTCATCATTCCTGATTCCAAACCCCCCCCCGGCATCCGTCGGACACCTCCATGACTCACCCCCTGAACCCCCCCTCCCGATAAACGCTATCCCTGCCTAGCCTTTGTTAATACTGGCATGTTCTTTCCTTGTTTAAAAAAAACCCTCATAAAGCCCTTTTTACCTTTATGACTCACGGTTTTATTTTGTACCGTGTCTGTATGCCGCGCATATGCACTGGTGACGTTAACGTGGAGCTCCCCGTTCGTTGTGCACGCTGAAAACAACAGCGTGGATTCAAAACAAAACGCATTGAAACACGGTGGTCACGTTTTTGTCTTTGCAGTTCTTTTGCGGGAAAACTTTTTTAAAATGTAATTTCTGAATGATTTGATAAACCTGATTTCGATCTGGATCTTGCGAGTCACAGCTGAGTTTTTAATCGTGAACTTTTTTTGTGAGGGGTGTAGTTACCCAGGACTGGCTTAAGGTGTCGCTGTTAACACGTCCACTAGGCTACTTAATAGGCGCTAAGACTAGCCTCAAGATAATAGCCAATTTTCTTTCTTTCTTCACAAAGTTACCTCTCTCCTGGAATATTCTGGATATTTTCCTGTAACGTTACGTGTTGCCACATGAGAGGAAGAAGATGAACCATATGGGCGTTTACCATCACAGTGTCGCTTTCCTAGCTTGTACGGGAAAACAGCCACTCCTCGGCATGGAAGCAGCCCGCCTGGCATCCCCATTATACCCCACATAAACAAACCCCGAGCTCAGTCTGACTGCCACAGCAGCAGCTGGCCGCATTTTCCAACGTGCAGAACGCTCCATGAAGCGGATGTCTCTGGAAATTGCATCCTTTTTTGTACCTTTGACCTGTAGTTGTTATTATCGCGCTCGCTCTCTCCACCACGTGACCTTCGTCGGACTCCAGTTAGAATGGGCTGAGCCGTCTCCAGCATACGACGCGGCCCCTCACCTATAATGGTGCCTTTTTTCGATGTTTTTTTTGTCTTTTGATAAGTAATAAACAGGCGTGTCAGGCCTTCTTCTCTGATGACTAGGTTCTAGGTGTTGTTACGTCCGGGACTGCGGTCATCCTTGCCTTGTGTCGAAGCTGATTCCCCTCACAGCTGACACCCGCGTCCATGCCACCTCTCTGCCTGGTTCAGTGCCCGATTCTGTATATAACCCCCACTGCTGTGTACATCTTCTGCTGAATGTGAAGTGAACCCCCTATCCTTTGCAGCATATGTCCGGTTTTTTGGGGGGAGAGGGAGGGATTCTTAAACTCTGCCCTGCCCTCCCCCTGCCCGCCCTTCAGCATCCATGTTCACTACAGTAAGCTCACGTCATGAGTCCCATTTCACCTCATCGGCCACGGTCGAGCTGCGACCTTGGGTTTCGCTGTTATTTTGAAGGCGGGGGTGGGGGTTACTGCATCTTAAAAAAACGCAGTTGCTATGGCAATAGACTAAAGGACCGCTGGTACCAACCCGATTAGCTCTTAGAACATGCGACACATGGGGATATGCAGAGCGTATCTCTAGAAACGAACCAACAAAAGGAAAAAAAAAAACTCCCGTATTGCTATTCTGTCCATGACCTCATAGGTATTTCATCCTCGCCATGGCAACGCGGACATCCATGTCAATGGCAAACACTGATTTCCAGTATAAACAGAAAGGCTGAGGGAATTAATCACGCTGAAGTGACTGCCCAGTTTGCCTTTGTTGATCAAAGGTATTTAAGGCAGGTGGAAATGAGTTAGCGGAAAAAGAAAGACAATTCCTTTATGGAATACTCTTTCTCCCCTATATCCATTTAAATAGTTTTTGGCATGAAAACGGCTCAATATTCTTCTAAGGTTAAACAACACCTTTCACGTTTACTGAGGGTATTGGAGCCAATTTGAAAAAAAAATGCAACTGACAAATCTAAGCAGTCTTTATTTGGCAAAAAAAGCCAAATATTTTAATAGATTGTATTAATGTGCATCTCTCTCCAATATAACCCTAATACAGAATACCTGCGAGAACAGTGTAGATATATAGGTCATTTTAACTGTCGCCTATTCTGTTTAATGCCATTAAAATCAATGAGCACAAAATTACTAAAAAATAAAAAATTTAGATAATTCAGAAATGTTCAGTAATCGATGGGGGTTAAGATACCTTGCTTTGGACTGCAAACATTGCATATCTGTGTTTTAGTCAATAGGCCTATATACAGTACATATGTGTATATCGGAATCCCCCAAGCAATTTTATGATGTTCCGGTCCATTAAGCCGTGAAAGTTCATTATTTTTTTCTTACTATCAGGTTTGACTTAGTAGTGTCTAGATAATGTAGACGTCCAGTTGTGCGTCTGTTTTGGTAAAACCTGATGAAGCATTGACGACTGCACTTCCAGGTGCCAGCCGCGGTATAGACAAACAGCCCAGTTCAAGGGCTGGAGATAGAATCTTGGGAGTGGGGACATGGTCGCGCGCGCTGATTGTAGGGCCATCCTGAGAAATGCAGCGAATCCGTTCTTAACAGGGTAGTGACGTGCACTTGTAAATAACCCGCATTGCTCATTGC